ATTTTTTTTTTTTTTTTTTTTTTTTTTAATTTCTCAACTATTACTGAGTGTTCATGCTCTTCAGAAGTGCACTATGCTCTACATCCTTTAGTTAATTTTTTGTTTTGTTTTGTTTTCTTAGTGGAATGGTATTAGGGGGGAAACTGTCTTGCTGTTTTTTTTATATGATTAAAAACTGTCCAGATTTACAGACAAAACAGATGTTTTCTGTAGGAACATGATTAACAGAGCATACACTATGATAACATTCTCCATATTAAGGGAACCAGCTTGGTTTAAATGAAATGATTTGGGTGAAAATTCAGACATCTACGATGTCCCACCTACACCTCTTATACAAGGCCTATCTCACCCAAAATGTGATATGGTTTAGGGAACAGTGAGACTTCCTGCCAACTATAAACATGAAGTAAACTTCGCTGTGCAAATGCTTACTGGAATGTTATAGAGGCAGACATCTAAGACATGTAGAATTTCTTTTTTTCTCCTCCCCAATATTTTCCAGTGGAATTAAAAAGATGCTGTTGTTGATGTTCTACCTTGAACTTAAAGAATTTAAATATTCTTCTTATTTTATAAAACTACAAGCTTAATGGTCTTGTTTTAAGCAAGTTAAACAAATATTTGCAGTAATAAATGAGAATTGCCGAAATGCTTGCCCACATAGCACAGTGGAATGCTGGTGATGACCTCTCCAAAATCTGACTGCCACTACATGACCACAGCTCCACCTCGAAAAGACCAAACCTCAGAACGGGGCTCTCAGCTGGGCCGCTTTGTGCTCTAGGTCAAATATCATACAGGCATTGGTTGCATTTTTGACCCACATTCAAAATGCCATTAAAATGTTACATGTAGCTATTTACATTACACTCTCGCTTGCCATAACTGGTTCTTCTGGGCCTAAACTTAACTCAAGTTGGGTAAAGGTTTGTGTGTGTATTGTAACTGGAAAGATTTTGGGCGAGACAGACTTTCATTACGTTAGCTTTTTAGCTCGCATGCAAAACTAAAGAAGCAATATTCAGACACTAAATATGTCCTGTTTGGAACATTGTGTACATTTTGCCTCCCAAAATATTGCTTTTAGGGGCTTAGTGAATAACTATAATTATACTTGACATGGAAAGTGGTAATATCACACACTGGGTAGTTCTCAGTCTATGTTTTTCTTTGTATTTATATTTGTATTCACACTTTAATTTTTAATACTAAAGTACCAGGCTAAAATATCCAGAAATGTTCTTGATCCTTGCCAACAAGAAGAAAGTGACATATAGTGACACATACTTGATTGTGATACTGTAGCGATTGTCAAATTTTTTTAGCGATAGTCTACTGTGGTAACTTTACACAAACTAGACATTGCTAGCACGCAGCACGTCAAACTTATACAGTGGTGTCCTCCACTGTCGAGTTTGTTCTTAAGCATGTCTGTCCTTAATATCGGGCCTCACTGATGAAGCTGGAAAGAAACAAATTTATTCAGCAATCGTTCTCAAGAGCAATTACACAAGAATAATGATCGTATCCTACCTTTCACTCTTGCTTTTGCATAAATTTACATATAAGTGAACTCACTAATGTCAGCTGATTGGCCTCAAATTGTTGGCGTTTATCACCATGCGCACATGAGCAATACGTTTGTAAATCTGGCAGGAATCTTTAGTTCGGCCACAAAAACATTTAAACTTTACTAACAACAACTTTAAATCTAACATTTAAACTTTACTCAATTATACACAAAGTCAGTTATTTGTATTGAGAAATAATGGGGCTAATGATCAGTGTGGGAGAAAAATCCCTAATTTTTTAATTAAATCCCTAATCTTTTAATTAATAATTAAAGAATCCCTAAAAATTCCTAATTACACAGATGATATTGTGTATTGCCGGCACTGGTAACAGCTGGTAACACATTTCATTTCATGCAGACTGCAACAGTAATCTGTAATGGAATCTTCTTTATTAAACTGTAGACTACAAAACAAAGTGACAATATAACGAGGAAAAAAAAACAAAATACTGCCTCTTACATAAATATGGTGTTAGAAATGTTATACAACTGCATATAATCTACGATCTACATTTTTAATCTGACCAAAGAAAAAGAGAAATAAACAGAGTAGCACACTGGTTTTCCTTGGTATCCGTAAATACCAGCAACAGTCAAAGTTGTCTATAAAAATGTCCTAAAGGAGAAAATCAGGCACATTAATAGTACACAATGCCCCCTTTTCCCAATTGTAGTCTATCTGACAGGACATCAAACATGTCTCAGCTGATCAGCTACTTTTGGGAAAAGGGACATTATGTATATTTGGCTTTTGTCCAAATTGTTCCTTTAAACTGCTGAAAGTGAACTCCTGCTGTTTTTGAGTCACATAACTGGACTGACTCATTCCACACACACACACACACACACACACGTTGCATCCCACCACATGTAGAGTAAAAAACCTGACATAAAATGTCAGACAGGGCATTAAAACAGGCCTGAGATCCACAGCTTTATCAGGAGGCTGGCACTCTCACAATCAGTTGTCGTTGTCGTAGATGCAATCTGGAAATGTAAAGTGAGGAAACGAGTGAGTCATGTTAAGATCATATATCTCACTTCATTCTGTGTGGCCTGATCGGTCAAAATGTGAACACACCCACACACCAAAGCTTTCAAACTCAAAGGTCAAGCATATTTTCTGGTCTAAATGAAATTTCCTAAGGTGATGCCACAACTTAAATTGAAAACCAAATCATGTTTTGCATTAGTGTAATAGTGGAATTTATTGGAATTAAAATTTGCATTGTCATGTTAAACAAAAATGACAGCAGCTGCTTCCAAAGTTAAAGAGTTAAGAATTGTATGTCAGAATTTAACTCAATTTAACTATAAATCTCTCTCTCATCCTTATGAAGGAGTTGTTACTATAGAAAAACTAGCATACTAGAAGGAGGGTATTCATAAAAACTGCTGTCAGCGCTGCTGTTATAGGAAATTAGTCAACACTTTCTGATCATTGATTTCAAGAAATCAATATCGCTGTGATATTAATAAAGTGTGGCATGATTTAGCCTTTTAGCTTGTAGTGTTTCTATCTTCAAACCAACCAGGCGCTAAAATGGGGTTGCAAAGCTGTCACAGTTCTCAATGTATACATTTGGGTGCTACACTAATCTATATTTTATCTGCTTTACTGATACAATATATGGCCAAAAGTTTGTGGACACTTGCCCATCACACTTATATGTGCTTGCTGAACGTCCCATTGGTCGCCCCTCCACTCTTCTGGGAAGGCTTTACACTAGATTGTAGAGCGTGGCTGTGGGGATTTACTCATTCAGCTACAAGAGGATTAATGAAGTTGAAGTTAACTGATGTCGGGTGAGGAGGCCTGGGGTGCAGTCAGCGTTCCAGTTCACCAGTGGTGTTCAGTGGGGTTGAGGTCAGGGCTCTGTGCAGGTCACTTGAGTTCTTCCACACCAGCCTTGGCAAAACATGTCTTCATGGACATCGCTTTGTACATGTTTGGGCCTTTTAGTTCCAGTGAAGGGAAACTGTAATGCTACAGCATTCAAAGACATTCTAGATAATTCTGTGCTTTCGGCTTTTTTCGTAAGGCCCACATATGGATGTAATGGTCAGGTGTCCACATACTTTTGAGTACATAGTGTAATAAGAAATCACATCTAGCATCTAACATCTAGTTAGTTCGCCGATACTAACGTATTGTCGTAATGGTTACTGTGTGCACGTCACGTGAGCCTTTTTTGCCATATCAGCTTAAAAAGCACTCAGGCCAGCGATTTTTCTTTACAAACAAAGAACACCAAGTGTGAATGCTACCTAACATTATGGTGTGTCTAATTATGTGGAAGACATATATAATTTTTTATGTCTAAAAATGAAAAGAAAAAAAAAAAAATTCAGGCCACATACCATCACCGACGTCATCATAGATGTCATTATCCCTGTTAGAGCAGAAGAAACATTTTTTATTTTTGTTTGACAAAAACAAAATCTTTAGATAAAAAAAATGGTTTGAAGCAGAACTTACTCAGTCTGGACGTTACTGTGTGAGACATATCCGACTGAAAACAGAATGGTGTACAGGGTTAGTCTATTTCATCCATTCATTTGTTCAGATGTGGTGATTGAGAGGTGGAGATTAGCTCACTCACATTTTCCCTCCTTGTTCCTGCAGATGAGTTTGTCATTGTCCAAGTTGCTGATGACGTCTAGGGTTTCGCCGGCCTGCACTGTCAGATCCTTCCCACTGCCTTTCTTATTACTGATTACAGTCACTTGATACAGAACCTGGATCTCTCCGTCAAACTGCAAAAATACAACAGCCCCTTACAACAACGCGTGCGAAAGTCAGAACTTATTACTAAACGTACTTATGAAATCAAAGTGACATTAAAATCACATCTCAAACTGACTCACGTTTGAGATTTTGTTTTATACTACAGTGCTGTGGATTTCTGGATTCTTATCAGAAGTGGTTGATTAATCTTCTATAACTGCAGCTCTATCACAGGTATATATTAATGCGCTCATTCTAATGTACTATCGTTTCTACAGTAACATCTCATTTACAGGGACTCGTATGGTGGCCGATCTAAAAAAAACAAAAAAAAAACGTCTAACCATGTTTTCTGTAATAAGATGCTTATTTAAGAAAGAGAAATTCAAGAGAAAGAAAAACGGGAGGCTGGTGAGGAAATGACTGTTTATAGAGTAGGCACTAATAGGAACTATCTTGTCTCACAGCCATAAATGGGAACTAGTTGTAGACAGGAGCTAAAATTGCAAGTGGGGAAGTGAAGAAATGTCAGACCACTTGCACCATAGGATTGGTGCATGGAATTTCTTAAGCCAATTGATGTGACTGCATTGCAGATAGGCTGAGTGTAATGATATGTGCCAGGCATGATGGCCAAGTGGGAAGGTGTCGGTCTTGTAAACCAAAAATCACAGGTTCAGACCCTGTTCATGCTTTGCAGAGGCCACTTGCTGGAATGTTCACAGTATCTTCTGCAGTGGTGGCTCAATGGTTAAGGCTATGGGTTACTGATCAGGAGATTGGGGTTTGAGTCCCAGCACTGTTGAGCATGGCCCTTGACCCTCTCTGCTCTAGGGGTGCTGTATCATGGCTGACCCTAACCTCCTAACAAGCTGGGATATGAGACGGAAAGAATTGTCAGCACAGGACAGTGCTGTGAAGTACATGTGACAAATAACGGCTTCTTCTTCTAGTACCAAACAACTGAGTGATTATTAATCTGATCGATGTAGTCTGATGGTTTGGTGTTTTCAAACACACTCTACGCTGTACCTTAAACTTCTTTCTGAACTCCTTCTCCTCTTTTTCAAATTTCTTCTGCTTCTTCGGGTCGTCTGCCTTAGCTTCAGGTTTCGGCGACTTCAGTTTGGAAGGAGGCATGCTGAAAAATGATCGTCAATATGGGAGCATGTGTGAAGGTGTGTAAATGTTTTGTGTAGTTTGTTAAGCATTTCCTGTAGGAAATGGGGGTTGTCATGGTGTGACAGTGTACCTGCTAGGAGGCTGAGGTGTGTCCACATCGTCATAAATTTCATCAGCTCCTGAGGATAAAACACACATGTTCAGTCCCACTTTAACAATGATTAATAAATAAGTCAGTAACTGTGACTAAAATCGCATTTATGTAGTAACATTCAGAGAGGCTCTTTAAATTTAAAGCTATGTTGTGTTTGACCACGAGCGGAGTAAGACAAATGACTGTGTGACCATGACAAAGGCCATAGAGACTCATCCTTTCAGGGGGCACAATGGAGCAGTTACAGCTTAGCTATACCTAGACCAATACTGCAAGATCATTAATGAGTGAAATTAGTGTGGACGTACTGGTAAGTTCCCATGTGACTTCTTTATGTAAGTAAACCTCCTTATCAGTTCATTGTCACTATAATATTCAGTAGTCACAAAATGAACACAACATGGAAGTGTTACTGCATCATAAAATCAGAGCCTATCAGGTGCTAATATGCAAATGCATGTTTCTCAGAAGAATCATTGGTGGCTCTGTGCCTTTTGTCTAATGACTTTGCTGAAGCTCGACAAATGTTATGAAATAGTTTATGTTAAAAGTTTTACTCGAATGTGTATTATGAATGGAATATTATGCAGGTGGATGTGTTGCGTGATGGTCAGTGGTCTGAATGTGTGGTTTAAACCTGCAGGTACTGTGTGTGATCTTTACCTGGGTTATCCTCTGGACTGAACTGTGGAGGAGGAGGAACCCTGAAAATACACAAAATTCACTTTTCGACCACACCAAGGAAAATATACAGGTAGATTCAAAAGTCTGAGTGCACTTTTTTTTTTTATTTAAAAACACACACACACACACACAAAACACTTAAGCGGACCACCTGAAGTGTATTATTTTCATATAAAGAGTATGGCCAAAAGTGTGCTATTTCGCTTATACCATAGTGATTTACCTTTTACTATTACAATGTTAAATTTATTAATGAATTACGTGTTGCACTTTTTAACAGTGTTGTTGTGGGAAGACACTTGTATCTGAGGTATAGGTTAGTTCCTGTTATCACTTGCGTTCCCTCAAAAGCTTCTCCTTTTCTTTCTCTCTCTCAAAAAAAACACTGCTTGTCATCCATATGAACAGATTAAAAAACATTGTTATTTAGCAAAGAAAAACTTATTTATTGGTGAGGTTTCTTCAAGGAGATGTTTATTTAACATTTATGGAAGGAGTCTCTGCTGTCAGTGCTTTGTAACAGTCAGAGGTAAAGCTGTAACTTTTAAGTTTGCTGACATGGGAATGTCTTCAGGATAGAGGAGTTTTTGCTTTACATTTTCTCACTAACAAGAAAAGCTGCATTTTAAAAGAAAATCTATTTAACTTGAAAAGAGAAACGAGAGGCTGGCGAAGGATCGACTGTTTATACTATAGCTGCCATAACGTATAACAGGGATTAACTTGATTCAATGCCATTCACAACATTTGGTGTAACTATAAACAGATAAAAAGTAAAGTGTGTGTGGTACGAGATAAAATGAAACACTTCAGGATGTGCTGTTACAGGAAAATAATCTTCTGGGTCATAACAGAAACTCCACTTCATCACAACACCCAGTCACGCATAATTATAGTATTCTTCACAGTAATACGGTCTTAATGAGAAATCCTGTTGGATAAAATCATAGTACGTATCTAACAGAATCTAATTGTTGCTAGTGCACTCAGATTTTTTGATCTGTAGCAGTTTCCTTTTTTAATCAACAGCAAATGATCTTCTGATCAGGACAGGAAAAAGAAAAAGTGACAAGAAGGGCGATACAATAACTCATGGTCAGTAATAAAGTG